GTGAGAGAGTGAGTGAGTGAGTGTGTGTGAGAGAGAGTGAGTGTGCGCGTGTGAGAGAGAGTGAGTGTGCGCGCGTGAGAGAGAGTGAGTGTGCGCGCGTGAGAGAGAGAGTGTGTGTGCGCGCGAGAGAGAGAGAGTGTGTGTGCGCGCGTGAGAGAGAGAGAGTGTGTGTGCGCGCGCGTGAGAGAGAGAGAGTGTGTGTGTGCGCGTGAGAGAGAGAGAGTGTGTGTGCGCGCGTGAGAGAGAGAGAGTGTGTGTGCGCGCGCGTGAGAGAGAGAGAGTGTGTGTGTGCGCGTGAGAGAGAGAGAGTGTGTGTGCGCGCGTGAGAGAGAGAGTGTGTATTGGCTCAGAGTCTGTGTTGTGTTGCAGGCAGGAGGAAAGGCAGGTAAAGACAGTGGCAAGGCCAAGGCAAAAGCAGTGTCTCGCTCACAAAGGGCCGGACTTCAGGTGAGCGTCTGTTTTGTCCATTTGTTAAATATCCTACCGTCAGGTTTTTTTTTAGGTTGCAAAGTCTAGTAAACAATGTCAGGTGCTGCTTTCTAAGGGAATGCGTATCTGACATCTGTAGTTCCCAGTGGGCCGTATCCACCGGCACTTGAAGACCCGCACTACAAGCCATGGTCGTGTGGGAGCGACAGCAGCCGTCTACAGCGCAGCCATCCTGGAGTATCTCACAGCCGAAGTAAGGCTCGTTAGTGCTGGTTTGTAGCGTGCCGCTAATTGTCTTTAACTCTTGTGCTATACAGTCTAACCAAAATGTATTCGGACACTTTCATTTCTCACATTATAGCAGTTTATTCGCTATCGTTTAGAAAATGGTAATATGACGAGTTAAACGGCGTCAGAACACATTCATCTTGATAATCTCAGATAAGTTTGATAGAAAGGTATGTAGTGAATTCGGTTGAATAGCTGTTAAATTTAAGAACACAATTAGATAATACCGATTACCAAGCAATGCTTAATTGTGTTCAGTCTGTGGTGTAAAGAAACACTTACGCAAAATATGCTTGGATTCATTTTTGGTCCCAAATTTTACTGGTAGTGCACTGTATGAAGAACTTTTGAGTGTGTTACAGTTCACTTTATTTTGCTATCCTCACTTATATGTGACCCTGCGGTGTTAAGTCGCTGGGGGATATTTGTAGCAATAGCCAACAATACATTGTATGGGTCACAATTATCCAAAAATCATTAGGATATTAAGTAAAGATCATGTTCCATGAAGATATTTTGTACATCTCCTACCGTAAATATATCAAAACTTAATTTTTGATTAGTAATATGCATTGCTAAGAACTTCATCTGAACAACTTTAAAGATGATTTTCTCAATATTTAGATTTTGTTGCCCCCTCAGATTCCAGATTTTCAAATATTGTCCGATCCTAACAAACCATACATCAATGGAGAGCTTATTGACGTATGGTTTTGTGGTGCATGGTCACAAATGAAGTATAGTGTCCTGCACCCACTAGTAAAAATGATATCTGGTGTCTGAATAATTTTTGCTTGGACTGTAGGTTTTGGAGTTGGCAGGAAACGCTTCAAAAGATCTGAAGGTGAAGCGCATCACCCCTCGCCATCTACAGCTGGCCATTCGTGGAGACGAGGAGCTGGACTCGCTCATCAAGGCCACCATCGCTGGTGGAGGTATGTTGGAGTTTAGTTTCTTTGTGCTGGTTGCAAACACACTGCCGTGTTGACAGATGAGGATGTGAAGCGCTGGTGTGTTTGCCGTCTTCTCGCAGGTGTGATTCCGCACATCCACAAGTCCCTGATCGGTAAGAAGGGCCAGCAGAAGACCGTGTAGTTCCCGCTGGGGTCGCTGTGGACTCAAGGACTTGCGTTTGGGATGTGACCAGATCGGCTCGTTCATTCATTCAGTCATGCGTTTTTTTTTTTTAAGTTGAATTGGCCAGAGCTATGGAGCTGTTTTATACTGAAATAATAAAAACATTTTATATGAAACAAATAATGTTGTCTGCTCTTATTTTCCTGTGTCTGCCTCTCTTTCATGTTTCAATGTTTGTGGGCCAGCATGTCAACCAGAGCTGCGTTTCCCAAAACGAAGCATCGTGAGCTTAAGTACATCGTAGACCCGTTGAAATCCGAGCTGCCATCCGTTCAGGCTTACGATGCTTTTGGGAAACGCAGCTCAGGATTGTGTTGTGTGAGTTAAACGTATTTAAAGTAATGACTTTTGAATATGGTGTATGTGTAAATAAAATAAACATTTTGTGGTGAGTACTTTTATTGTGGAAGTACACTTTAGCATGCATATAAATATTGGTGTATATATTTAAGTCTCGTGTGTTTAGAGCCTAGCCTAATAATATACAGTGTGAAACGAATGGTTTTTAGACAATTAGTGCTATTGTTAGATACAAGTTAGTACTTTTTGACACAGTTGTATGTAATTTCACAGTTCTGTGGTCTATGTGAAGTGCTAATTTAATGCAATCAAGCACATCTTTTTTTTTCCACATTTGTATAGATAATATTTAAAAATTCATGGTCCGTGTGCGTTTATAATTGCATGTGGTGATTAGTAACAGATGCACAACAGTACATGTTTTCTGTGGGTTACGCTTTATTTTAAGGTGTCCTTGTTACAGTATAATTATGCATTTAAGTACTGAGTGATATTAAATGACTACATGTAACATGTACTATATGGTTAGGGTTACTTGCACGTAATTATGCATGATTTATTGTTATAATAGTAAGAATGTGTAACAAGGACACCGTAAAATAAAGTGTTACCAAGATGTTGGTAATTTAATAATTTATACCCTGATATTCTGTGTGTTTGTATCTATAATTCCATTAAAAAGACTTCCGCGCAGTAATGTGGAACACGGTTTGGGCCAATATAAGACGACTCTTCCCTTTTTTTTGTTTTCATATTCTTTTTTTTTGTTATGGGTAATGATGTCTTCAGAAAGTGTGGACATTGTGTGACGCTAAAGACCACATATTAGAGTCAGATTGAGTTGCTATTTCTTTTTAAGTATCCTGTTTCTGTGTCAAAAAACTAATATTTGACGTAAGCCGTGCTTAAGCATTAAAAACATATTTTGATGAAAGCCACTGGTGTGTGCACTTCACAGGCCAATCAGATACGTTTAAATATACAGTGCTGTTCTTGTAAGCGCTTGTGTTATGTTTAAAGCATTTTTTCAATATGAAATGCCTTTAACAGTAAATCCTCCAAGTGGACTTTCTGTAAAAGCTGGAGTATGTTTACATATGGTCAGACTCTAGTCATGTTTCAGGGAGCTGCCTGATGCACAAGCACTGATTTATAGCCTAATATAATTTGTCCACATTAACCCTTTAGGTACCAAGTGAATCTAAAGGAAGTCTTTGTAGCATCACAAACATAAACACATTTATACAGATGCAAGAGCTTTGGTTTTAAATGTCCTAGACCGCTGCAGCAAGGTGAATATTGTTGCTTTGACCTGTGTGTGTGTGTGTTGTTTTTCGTGTGTGTGTCTGTGTTTGTGTGTGTCTGTGTTGTGTTGTATATATATTTAAGTCTCGTGTGTTTAGAGCCTAGCCTAATAATATACAGTGTGAAACGAATGGTTTTTAGACAATTAGTGCTATTGTTAGATACAAGTTAGTACTTTTTGACACAGTTGTATGTAATTTCACAGTTCTGTGGTCTATGTGAAGTGCTAATTTAATGCAATCAAGCACATCTTTTTTTTCCACATTTGTATAGATAATATTTAAAAATTCATGGTCCGTGTGCGTTTATAATTGCATGTGGTGATTAGTAACAGATGCACAACAGTACATGTTTTCTGTGGGTTACGCTTTATTTTAAGGTGTCCTTGTTACAGTATAATTATGCATTTAAGTACTGAGTGATATTAAATGACTACATGTAACATGTACTATATGGTTAGGGTTACTTGCACGTAATTATGCATGATTTATTGTTATAATAGTAAGAATGTGTAACAAGGACACCGTAAAATAAAGTGTTACCAAGATGTTGGTAATTTAATAATTTATACCCTGATATTCTGTGTGTTTGTATCTATAATTCCATTAAAAAGACTTCCGCGCAGTAATGTGGAACACGGTTTGGGCCAATATAAGACGACTCTTCCCTTTTTTTTGTTTTCATATTCTTTTTTTTTGTTATGGGTAATGATGTCTTCAGAAAGTGTGGACATTGTGTGACGCTAAAGACCACATATTAGAGTCAGATTGAGTTGCTATTTCTTTTTAAGTATCCTGTTTCTGTGTCAAAAAACTAATATTTGACGTAAGCCGTGCTTAAGCATTAAAAACATATTTTGATGAAAGCCACTGGTGTGTGCACTTCACAGGCCAATCAGATACGTTTAAATATACAGTGCTGTTCTTGTAAGCGCTTGTGTTATGTTTAAAGCATTTTTTCAATATGAAATGCCTTTAACAGTAAATCCTCCAAGTGGACTTTCTGTAAAAGCTGGAGTATGTTTACATATGGTCAGACTCTAGTCATGTTTCAGGGAGCTGCCTGATGCACAAGCACTGATTTATAGCCTAATATAATTTGTCCACATTAACCCTTTAGGTACCAAGTGAATCTAAAGGAAGTCTTTGTAGCATCACAAACATAAACACATTTATACAGATGCAAGAGCTTTGGTTTTAAATGTCCTAGACCGCTGCAGCAAGGTGAATATTGTTGCTTTGACCTGTGTGTGTGTGTGTTGGTTTTCGTGTGTGTGTCTGTGTTTGTGTGTGTCTGTGTTGTGTTGTCTGTGTGTGTGTCTCTGTGTTGTGTGTGTGTGTGTGTGTTGTCTGTGTTGTGTGTGTGTCTCTGTGTTGTGTGTGTGTGTGTGTGTGTGTGTAGTCTGTGTGTGTAGTACTCTAGTCATGTTTCAGGGAGCTGCCTGATGCACAAGCACTGATTTATAGCCTAATATAATTTGTCCACATTAACCCTTTAGGTACCAAGTGAATCTAAAGGAAGTCTTTGTAGCATCACAAACATAAACACATTTATACAGATGCAAGAGCTTTGGTTTTAAATGTCCTAGACCGCTGCAGCAAGGTGAATATTGTTGCTTTGACCTGTGTGTGTGTGTGTTGTTTTTCGTGTGTGTGTCTGTGTTTGTGTGTGTCTGTGTTGTGTTGTCTGTGTGTGTGTCTCTGTTGTGTGTGTGTGTTGTCTGTGTTGTGTGTGTGTTGTCTGTGTTGTGTGTGTGTCTCTGTGTTGTGTGTGTGTGTTGTCTGTGTGTGTGTGTGTAGTCTGTGTGTGTGTGTGTGTAGTTTGTCGTGTGTGTTTGTGTCTCTGTGTTTGTTTGTCGTGTGTGTGTGTGTGTGTTTGGTGTGTGTGTGTGTTGTGTTGTGTGTGTTGTGTTTGTGTTGTGTGTGTGTGTGTGTGTGTGTGTAGTCTGTGTGTGTGTGTGTGTAGTTTGTCGTGTGTGTTTGTGTCTCTGTGTTTATTTGTCGTGTGTGTGTGTGTGTGTTTGGTGTGTGTGTGTGTGTTGTGTTGTGTGTTTGTGTGTGTTGTGTTTGTGGGGTTTGGTGTGTGTTTGGTGTGTTGTGTGTGTGTGTGTGTTTGGTGTGTTGTGTGTGTGTGTGTTTGGTGTGTGTGTTGTGTGTTTGGTGTGTGTGTGTTTGGTGTGTTGTGTGTGTGTGTGTGTGTGTGTGTGTTGTGTTTGTGTGTGTTGTGTTTGTGTGTGTGGTTGTGTGTTGTGTGTGTGTGGGGTTTGTGGTGTGGGGTTTGGTGTGTGTGTGTTGTGTGTGTGTGTGTTGTGTGTGTGTGTGTGGTTTGTGGTGTGGTGTTTGGTGTGTGTGTGTGGTGTGTGTGTGGTTTGTGGTGTGTGTTGTGCGTGTGTGTGCGCGTTTGTGCATGAGTGAGTGTCTGTGTGTGTACTGGCGTTTGTGGTGTGGTGTTTGGTGTGTGTGTGTGGTGTGTGTGTGGTTTGTGGTGTGTGTGGTTTGTGGTGTTTGTTGTGCGTGTGTGTGCGCGTTTGTGCATGAGTGAGTGTCTGTGTGTGTACTGGCTTATATAACCTGGTGGGGACTTAAACCTGAATACACACAGACTCATGGGGACTCGTGTCACGGTGGGGACCTAAATTGAGGTTTAAGCTCATAAAGCTTATAAATCACACAGAATGAAGTTTTTTGAAAATCTGAAAATGCAGAAAGTCTCCTGTGAGGGGTAGGTTTAGGGGTAGGGTTGGTGTAGGGCAATAGAATATACGGCCTGTACAGTATAAAAACCATTACTCCTATGGAGAGTCCCCACAAGGATAGCTGACCAGATGTGTGTGTGTTTTTTTTTGCATGCGAGATTGAGCCGTTTTAACCTGGGAATTAAAACAAGATCTTACACACGACTGCAGGCTTTGGGTTATGGGACATCTGCAATGCAGAAGCCTATATATAGCAGAGAGATGGAGGGAGGGGGCTGAGGACAAGATACAATAATATCGATGGAGACGTTGCCAGTCCCACACATATAATCCAGTACTGCAGGTTTTTAGTGCTTCTGTGAGGTTCTATTTTAAGCTAGCAGTCACTGCACTCCTAAACATCATCACCATACAGCGATGGAGATATTTTTGTTTTAATGCATAATGTGTTTCAAATAGGTGATTAAATCATATAAATCACAAAATTAAAGAATCAATTTAAAAGTATGCATATAATTAATAACACGTTCATGTTCCCTTGTGTGCTCCCCCCATTCTGCTCAAGAAATATGACTTCATATTTTATTACAGTTATGCTTTTTAAAATGTTTTATGGAAACGATGATAGTTATTTTTTTCCCCAGGAATTTTTTATGATCAGAAAGTTCAAAAGAACAGCATTTATTTGAACTAGAAATCTAATATTATAAATATCTTTACTGTTTTGAACAATAACAAAAGACTAATACATTTTTG